GATGGAGCCATGCTCGCAATATAGTTAGTTCCTTGTCATCTTCCCATGCACAAGAACGGAATAACCAAAGCAAACACCTTGGAGCATTAATGGGACAGACCACATGTAGCTCGAAGGAACTTGTATGGAGTACCCCTTTTTGGAAGGCCTCCAGAAGCAATATATTTTTGCTAACCTGTCCGGAAAGTGCGTTCATTAAATTTTGTTATTCGAGAGTCACACAGGAATCTCCATTTTACCCAAGAGGACATAATTCTGAACGTTTATGTACTACCAGTCCAGCTTTTTTATCAATAAACTTGTCAGACCTCGTTCACGCGCGTCCTCGCGGACGGACTAGAAGTCACTTAAAGGAGCACGCGGCTAGCCTGACTGATCTTCGATAACGACAAGTCCACCTCAAGGTTGCTCTCAGCCAGACAATTGGATACTGATGCAAATATGTGTACTGTTTACTTTTTGTGATAAACATTATTTGTCAAAATGTCTTGCCTTCCTGTCAAGCTTGATGCACAATAGGAAAATTATCACACTTTTTTTTTGTCAACAAAGGCTATTCCAGAAAAGGATTTCTAAGAGGTCGGGCTTTCTGATAAACGCATTCAAACTCAGATTTCTTTAACAACGTAACATTACTCAAATTTTTTTTTCACGAACACATTATGGACGGGGTTCCCTTTAAAAAATGCCCCAACCGATCGTAAGACAGTAATTTTTAGCCGTTTCCAGATTGAGCGGTGGGGCTACTATGAAGGATGACCTTAAGAACTGCAGAGAGGAGAAATCCGGAGCATTTTTGGATCGTGCAGTCGAAGAGAAACAAAACGATTTTTGGCATTAGAAGTTCTCTTAAGTGTAAATTATTCCCTAGCATTTGAGACGTATTCAATCAAACTCTCTTCTTTGGTCTCCTCATTTTTTGCGTTCCACGGTTCTTGAGCTGCTAATTGCCACGTTATTAGTGAATTCAACAAGTGTTATATGGATGTTGTTTTGACGAACAAAGAAACATGAGCCAGTTAAAATGCAAATAATTTTAGTCGAGGCAACACTGATTGAAGTGTCCACTTGACCGACAAAATGTTTTAAGTCCTAACTTATGTTGTTTAAGTTCAGAAAAACTCATTTTGCTGGAACAGACCAATTTTACTCCTAATGGC